ATAAAGGCGGATCAATAAACTACAAATACATATTTAAGTAGAATTTATGTTGTAATACGTGGTAGCCGTGTTGTGGTTGTAATTATGATTGTGTTTTTTTTGTCAGCTTGGCGACATGTTTAAAATTTTCTGATGGCATACCTACTGTCAAAATGAAATTTAGGAACCAAGTCATTTTCTCACCACGTTTGTAAGGTGCGTTAGCAGCGCTCCTGTCAAAGTTGACAATTGTGAACTGACATGTTAAGATTGCTACCAATATTTCAGAATTACCACCACAAAAATTGTTTCAGTCATTAATAGTCACCCGGCACTTTAAGATGACATCGTCAAACTGTCGGTGGGGATGCTCAGATAAATTTTGATTAGTGTTTTACTATACATATGGGTAATTCCATTCCACATGGACCACTTTTGAACCAGACCCCTTTCGATTTTACTGAAATTTTTATATTTTTTTCTACCCCACTAAAGACGTTTCTGAGAATTTTTTCAATTGTTTTTACCCAACCAAAAAAAATATATGAATTTAAAAAAAATATGGCTCTTTTTTCCAAAAAATTGTAACTTTTTCAAAAATTGAGTTACCGGGACTTTTTTTTCAAAATTTTTCTCTTTGAATGTACTTTTCAGAAAAAAATAAATAAAAAAAAATTTTGAAGGGAGGTTTTATGAGATTTTTCAATTTGTTGAGAAAAACCGTCAACAGTGGGCCGAATTTGCGTTCTTTTTGTTTAATTAAAAAGAGAAATTTTTAATTCAATTTTTAAGTTTTTTATTTTAAAAATTCTATTTATGATTATTTTAAATTTTTTAATTTTACAATATTTCATACTTGATTTATAACCTTAGGTTATGATGTATGATCAAAATTTCACGATTAATAAGATTAAAAATCAATTTTTTAAGTGCTTATTGAATAAACTGTTTATTTCGTTTTTCGTTGGCGCTTAAATAATTTACATATTCTATATAATTGAAAATTCAAAAATTTCAAAAACTTTGTCAATTTATACTACCATGCAAATGATTTGGCATTCCTGCCAAATGGTATTTTTTCGTTACTGCCCGTGGAAAAGGTTCATGGGATGGTATTGGTGACACACTCAAAAGATTACCAGCGAGAGCAAGTCTTCAGGTAGCAGTAGACAAACCAAGAACCACACCTCAAAAACTTTGTGTATGAGCTTGTTCATCGGATAACTTTCTGAACATAGCGGTTAAGTTTTCACCAGAAGAGAATTATAATAAAGCTGTAAATGATTTAAGTGATCACTTTTCAAGAAGAAAATCAATTACTCGAACTCGGCAATTGCACAATGTGATTCCAGACAGAGATGGTTGTCTTCATGTTCGTAATTTTTCAAATTCAGATCAATCTAGAATATGTTAAGTTATTTCAGCGCCAACGAAAAAGGAAATACATAGTTTGTTTAATAAGTATTTAAAAAATCGATTTTTAATTTTATTAATCGTGAAATTTTTATCATAAACCTTAAAGTAAGGTTATAAATTAAGTACGAAATATTATAATATTACATATTTAAAAGTAATTTTAATGTATACAGTTTTTAAAACAAAAAAGCTAAAAATCGAGTTAAAAATCTTCTTTTCTTAATTGAAAAAAAAAAGAACGCAAATTCGGCCCACTCCCGTATTCACGGGGTTATGCCCAGAAAAAAATCTAAAGTTTTTTTTAGGAAAAAAAATAAAAAATCAAAAATGTCAGACTTCGAGAAATCGACGGTTTTTCGCAAAAAAGTGAAAAATCTCATAGAACCTCACATCAATTTTTTTTTTCGTTTTTTTTTTCTGAAAAATACATTTAAAGACAAAAATTTTGGAAAAAAACGTGCCGATAACTCAATTTTTGAACCAGTTGTAGTTTTTTGAAAAAGAAAGCCATTTTTTTGAAAAATTCATTACTTCTTTTTGGTTTGGTAAAAAAATTTGAAAAAAATTTCAGAAATGTCTTTGGTGGGGTAGCAACTAATGTAAAAATTTCAGTAAACTCGAAAGGGGTCGGGTCCAAAAGTGGTCGATTTGGCATATTCTAAATAAGACACAAACTAAATTTCAGAACAATTGCTCTAGTAGTTTCAGAGGTTATCTGTCTAATAAAATCGCCAACAAATGACAGATATTTTGTGGATATAATGAATTAATAACCAAGCTAATCTATCTATCCCCCCAGAGTAAATTTTGGAAAACTGTTGGGTTAAGGTGTTTTTTCGAACATTAGTTTAGACAATGGGGGAAAACTAGAATAGAGAACAACATAACAATATGTAACAACGAAATTTTTTTTTAATAAAGACACTAACTCAAAAATTACCGGCTTGATAAATAATAATAATCAACAAAACGTCAAATCTCCTCGCTCTTAACTATTTTAAACAAACAGTCCAAGCAGGGAAGTGTAAGCAATCTTACTTTTTATCAAATGGACAGATGGAAATGGCCTAGATCTTATAATCATTGAAAAATATGACTATGGTTTTACACTGGATAAAATAAAAAATTATTAGAGAATTTAGACATTATTCCCATAGCATTCTAAAGCATATTAAATATCCTGCGCAAGTCACATTTTTCACATGTTCTATACTGTTTCTCTAACCTACATATGTAGTCTAATTAAAGTAAAAGCACTCATTTGATTTTTATTCATCCGACTTTTAGTAAGTTCCCAATATTTCAAAAACATATAAAGTCCTGGAAATATCTCTGTTCACTTAGACTGTGACGGTTTTTAATGACCAAAAGTATGTGCTTTCTTGTATGTTAAGGATAACTTGCTAAGATAACATATCAATGGAAATGGGAGAAGTTCAAAATTAATTGAATAATAATTATAAGTTTTATTCTTTAATTAGACATTAATTTTAACACAACTCTAAATCGTCAACACTACTGTCATCATCTTCACTGACACTTTCATCTGAAATGGAATAAACATTGATAATGGCTTGATTTGTTTCATAATTGTCCAGAATCTTTTCCATTTGGCTTGCCGACTCTATGTTTTTTTGCATGTGCTTATATAAAAGGGTATATTGGGAACTTGGTTTGTTACATTTTCCCAAGTTTTCAGTAAATCAACAGGAGAAGCATTCGTTTTTGGAATACTTTTATAATACTTTCGTTTACATTCCGACGATACCATTAAAATGATTTTTAAATGTTACAATTTTTCGGGGAGGTATTGAGCATAATATTCCAAATCTGATCTTTCATCGCTTTTTCAGGATAATCATTTTCTTTTTTTCCAACTCTTTCGAGGAATTTTTTCCGACGAATAAAGAGCAAATATAAGTATAGTGTACTTATCAAAACTAAAATAAGCAAAGTAAGTCTACAGTGGTAAGTTGCATTACCCAATATAATATGAGACGGTCCCGGAATATTGGATATTAATTGCTCTTTAAACCACTTTTCAAAATTTTTCTGGTTCATGTTATCATGACAATCGCCAGATTTTGTTTCTGCCTTAAAAATTAGAGACGCTCCTTCAATAAATCCGTGTTTATTGCCAGTGTAAACTACAATATATCTACATCCTTCTCCCCTTTTTGTAATTGTAGTTTGTGTTGAACCGTCTTGGCATGTTTTTTTACATATATAGGTATACTACTTTTACTAAATATTTATTTAATATAACTTGTTTTGTTAGATCACTAAATCGTTTCATTGTTCAGAATTAAGTAGAGTAGTAAAACGTTAAATAAACCAAAGATTCTATTTGAGAAATAATTTTGACGACAAATTTCAAAATTTAACATAAAATTTCTATGACATACTCAAAATTTGGTAATTTTTGGTCTCACACAAAGTGCATAAGAAAGAGATAAAGTTTTACTTGGGGTATAACTAAAGAAATACCATTTAACATATTTTAAATGAGATTTACTGACCAAACTTTTAAAATAACGTCATCAATTTTTGCAGGAAATAAAAACATAAAATTTTCTTAGTCTACTTGCAATCACTAAGTTACTGTTTGTATTATAGTCAACTTTTTAAATAAATCCTTTATGCAATTTCTCCCATAACTGGTAAATTATAATTCCGTTAACTTTATTTTTTAAGATAAACAATATAAGTTGTTGAGTTTGTTGAGCTTTATAACTGACTAAAATTAATGTATTATTTCTGAGACACCCTGTATTATCGGTAATGTAACAATATCTAGAAAATATCTAATGGATTCATCCCGTTTTCTGAAAAAATGTTAGATACGAGGTATTGTCATATTATAATTATCACATGTATAGCAGTATGTTATATTTCATATTTAGGGTGAATTTTTTTTAATGAAATTTTGTAAAAATGTCATCATTTTTGTAGAAACGAATATGTAACGCACAGTGAACATTAATCATAACAGTATTGTATTTCTAGTACCCCAGAAAAAATTTAAAAATAGTAAGCCATTATTGGTTCTTGGGATAATTTATAAGAAGCTTTTAGTAATTTTTGCTGATGACCTTTTTATGGAATGAACAGACAAAATTTAGACCAAATTCTGTAAACGCTAAAACAAACTTACAACTAATTTCACGTAAAGTCACAGACAAAGGAACATTCCACAATGTACAATTCCAGTGACTTATTGTTAGTTGGAAAGAACGGACACCTTTTGTTTAGCGTTTTACTATCTAAGCGATAATCTTAAAGTGCGCCTAAAATTTCAGAGTAGACAGTTCAGTGTTTCCGAGATTATCACCTAATAAAACTGCCAACAGGCAAGATTTCTGATTTCTGATGGCACGAGATAAACAGGCTCTAGAATATGGGAATAAAGAACCGATATTTTTTACGTTAATTAAACAGTAAAGATAAGTAATACTTATATATAATAAATTTCCAGCATAAGTTTCGCCAAAAAGGTGTGGTTTGGATGGATATAAAAACCTTCTTTTGTCGTACTATTCTTCTGTGTGTCACGCTGTACATTATCCGACAATACTACTAACTATTGATTTGTTTTTTGTTTCCAGTCAACTGCCGAAGTTTCACCATCTTCGGGATCCAAAACGGAAGATCCTGGTTATATGGAAAACGAGATCGACTATGAAAGAGAAAAGGGAGATGGGGTGCCCTACGACAAAGAAGACTGTTCCATGCAAGAGTATGAAATAATGAAAGTAAGCGCTTCCGCCAAACAATATACTGGCTTTTTTCACCGACAACTAAATTGTTTTTAGGATAATTTATTGCTATACAACCATGCCAGGCTGATGTCCCAGGACAATCATAGTAAAGATTACTTGGTTTCCATTATGTTTTCCCATTATGACAGCAACAACAATGGTAACCTGGAGGCGACCGAATTAAACGAGGTACAACGTAGCACAATAGTTTCCAACGATAATATCATTACCGAGTAATATATTTTGTTGGGTGCAAATCCATTCGAGATTAATTCGCGCTTCTAGGCTAATTTTAATTAAATTCTCACCTAAGATCGGCACTTCTCAAGGCGTCATCACGCACTACAATATGTTAATAAATTAACCGAGTTACTGGTTGATGGAAATTACAAATTTCTACTGGCGGCATTGTAATTGATTTATAACTCTATTAATGAACAGGTGCACTGCTTTGTTTTCAAACTAATGCAGATTATAACTTCATAGAAACACGCTCCTGCTGTCTAGTAATGAAGTGAGTGCTAAGTCGGTAAAGTGACACGTTTGGCAGCATGTGGAAGCTTTACCCATTGCTAGTGTCGTATAAACGACAAAATTTATTAGAGCACAAGGGGAAATAACTATTGACAACTATCAACTCAGAAAATGAACAACTGTAACAAAACAGTAATCTTCTTGTTAAAATGAAACTTTATTAAAAGACTTATAACACGAGTTCCAATATTTTAGTGTACCATAGCAGAAAATATTTAATTAAATTTACCAAAAAGCTCAATTCCCACAGCTTCGATATTTTTAGTAAACTTTGGAAATAAGCTGCACGAACAATATAGTTTTAAATGAAAATTCAATATTTGTTAAATTTACAAACATGAATTTTGCAATTTTTGAATGTTTATTTCTAGGTTCCCTATTGATTTCTCCACACACATAAATACAGAGGACAGGATAAAGCTTTATCCATTTGATTAATAATTTTCAGTGGTCAGTTTGTTACACATAACGAAATGTTCTTTATAAACAATCGATAACAAGTACAGCTGTCGCACAAACCATGCAGAAAAATAGAGTTCAACCCGCTTATTCAACTTTGTGCAAAGTAATAACTTAGACGCAAGATGTTGTAAACTACTTAAATTCACATTTTAAAACTGAGAGTTTCTTAATTTTTGCAAAATATATTTTAGCTACTGTATTAGTTATTATCGACAGTTGGTAGTGAATTTAGATTATTTAACAATAGTATTCTTTGTATTTTTGTGTTAAATTAATAACTAATGAACTATTGCAAAATAAGAAAAAATTGTCATTGTTCATATTTTTGTGTTATGGTCTATTTTTTTTTTTTCAAAATTAAACCCTATTTTTTTTAATATTTTCTAAAATTCATAGACCAATGGACAGCAGTAAAAAAAATAAAATACATGTAAGCAAAACAACTTCACTATGTTTCTAAAATGTATTTTGTAGATATACAACATCATATTAAATATATAATATAGCCTATTATTTAATGGAGGTTTTAAGTAATTTTTACTTTTCGAGAGTAAACCAGAGAAGTATGTGTTGTATTAAGGTTGCCCGGCGAAGAAATAATTTCATATTTTCTCGACAGTTCATAGCTTCTAGAGCACGAAAAGATAGATCCTCTTTTCCGTCTATCTGTCATTTGTTGTCTATTGCTGTTTCTATTACATAGATATACTGAGAAACTACTGGACTGATTTTATGAAATTTTATAGGTGAAACACTAACCAGTTTCCTATCCACAATTTAAAAACGTGATTTCAAAAATTTGCAGAGTGAACACCCTTTAAATTTTATAAAATAACACAAATGTACGTTTGTAGTTTATGAATCTACCTCTATTTTTTCTTCAAACATCAAGATTTTTGAGACAAAAAGCAGTATTTTGACATTTTAAAATTATCCTAAGCATAATAAATCACTAGCTAAACAAAATTTATCTTTTTATCCCCTCCAAAAACTTGAGATGAGGTCATATTAACGTTTTACAGAATAAATCCTGTCTAAAATGTGCAAAGTATTATACCCCTGCCCTTATACTCTTGTTACTAGTGTTATATCCAGATTAGAGATGTACCGACTGCAGTCGGCCGACTAGTCGGCTTTGTCAAAACCGGTTAAAATTAGTTTAATCGACCGAAAATTGATGTCAAAGTGTAGATAATCTTCCGCTAGTTACGATTCTGAAATCGCCGTCACGATATATGGTCCAATAAACACGCAGAGCGAATTCAAAATTTCCAAAAATTTTCCAAAAAAGTGGTTAAAATTGGTTAAGTATTGTATAAACTGCCCTAAATTGTGTTATTCTTTATTTTTGTACTGAGTTACTACAAAAAATTAAATGTTAAAATTATCCAAAAAACTTTTACACATTTTTTGGAAAAAAAAGAAACTTCAGTTATTCCTTTTATTAAAATAAAACAAGTTTTTAAGGTAGTCACAGAAATAGAAAAAAAAAACCACTGTCTGTTGCATTTATAAACAGTCGGCCGACTGCAGTCGGTACATCTCTAATCCAGATTCATATGTAGGTTTAACCACTAAGCATGCGTTCCTCTATATCTGAGAGTCTAAACCTACAATAGCACTGAAATTATTTTTAACAACATATACCGAGTGTTGTCTTTTGAGCCATAACATACCGTTTAGTTTTTCTAAATATAACACCCTGTATATTTTTACATATTCTCAGTCATCTCCTCCTAGGCTTTAAAATGGCGATCTATCTCATAAATTTCGATGCGGCGTTGCCAGGTTATTCCAATTTTCTTGAAATTGTTTAGCAATGCAAAGTTTAGGGAAAAAATCGCACTAGGGTCATTTATAAAGTCTATGTTACAATATGTAGAGAAATAAACAAAGGCACACACTTTGTTATAGTGTAAATTAAATTGACCCCTAATATGAGTATTTATAAAAACCTAAAATTTTAGAATTTTTAATTTTCGATATTTCAGTTCTTTTCAAACAAAACACGTTGTATTTTGTTACTGCATCTTGCTCTACTTTTTGTTCTTTTTCTTTCGATATATCTGTGTGTGCTATCAAATTTACATATACTAAATATAAAAAAAATGGTCGAAGTTTATTTCGATAGAACTTACCTCGCTCCAGAAGGGTAAATAACACCCCCTCAATTCCTGCGCCTGGAGGGTGTAAATTCCAAAGTGGCACAGTCTGAATAAATGCCGACAATAAAAAATATATTTAAAGCAGATAATGAGTGGGAAACAACGTATTCTTAATTCCAAGTACTAGTTTAACTTTAACGGTTTTGTTTGTGTTTATGCTTGGTGGTATTAAATGCATGCATATGTATTAAAAGAAACTGACATTTGATTGATTTTGTCCCTTCAACACAGAAAAGAGGACCAATTCATTAAATAAGCACGGTTTTTTACCCAAAAAGTATACCTAAATAATAACAAGATATAGTACGTACAAGAACAAAATAAATTGACTGATTCATTAATTTTTTTCAGTCTCCGTGTATAAGAAAATCTAAAAAATATGAATGTAGTTATAAATTACAAGTATAGACTGATCATATTGTGCACATTTTAGATAGGATTCATTCAGCAAAATTTTGGGGTGACGTCATCAATTTTTTAGGTGGGATGAGCAAATACATTTTGATCAAAAATTTACCATGCCTATGATAAATTTAAAACATCTCCAAAATTTCGAAGCATTCGGTTTTGTAGATTACAAATTAAATTGCAAAATTTCATAATTTTGACTTTTTTGACGTTTCGAGTAAAAACTCAAGTCGGAGTCATAAACTACATGTGTAGGACTATGTTATTTTATACAATTTGAAACCCTTTACTATGTACAATTTTGAAATGACGTCATCACATTAGTGGTGGGGATGATTACACAAAATTTGGTTAGCGTTCTACCATGTACTGATATACGTAATGCACATATAAAATTTGATAACAATCGGTTCGGTAGTTTCGGAGATTATCTGTCTAACAGGCAGCGGACAGACAGAGAGACAATAGATGGAAACGGAGGACCTACGTTTCTGTACTTTAGGGTCATGAACGACATATCGAAATAATGTGAAAGTATTGAAGTCAGTCACCCGGTGGACTCGATTTCAATATTTCCTTAACTTACGCTCCATAATTCCATAAATTCACTAGGGTTATAAAGTCTGCAACGAGATCAGTATGCAACACTAGTTGTATATTACGCCTCAAATACAGAACAATCTTTAAAATTGAAAATAATTTTAGTTATGTTACTCAAAGAACTGTGTGACTTCAGTTTAAGACGTCATCACAAAGAGTTATTACGATCAGCTCAGTTAAAACATACTCATAGCATGCCTCCTTAGCGGTAGTTTAACAATTTACATCTACTTTTTTTTAATTTTGTATAGGTTCTCACAAAAAATATATAATTTGTATGGAGAACTCGCTTCGTTTGATTTTTCTTCAGAGGTGAGGAAAGTTCTCTCTAAATAATTTTATAGCAGTTTTTTATAATTTCATTATTATTATTTATCGAAACCTTTACATTTTTATAATCTATATAGTTTTCACCTCTTTTAAAATGTGTGCGTAATAAAATATTGGAGTTTTTAACGTAAGTATCATCAGTTGAAAGAATGAATAATTCTTCCTGATTTAACAAATTCGCGTATTTGTAGAGATTTTACCAAGAACGTAATCAATGTTCAAAGAAAGATTTTGCGATATCACAAGTCCCCGATGACAGTAATAGCAATAGCGAATCGCAAAAACTGTCATCGCATCTTCCATTGCAACGGGACTTGCGATATCACAAATCCAACTTGAAATTGGCCCATTAGTAATTTTAATTTGAAGAGCAAGGTCAAGTTGGATCATAATATATAAAAATGCATAGGATATGTCATTTAAAAAGACGAAGTTATGTGTCACGCCTTAAAAACAGAACATCTATATACTTAAAAATAAAATAATTTTATAGTAAAGTCCTCAAGGAGCCGTACAACTTTGTACTTTGACTTTCTCTTCTATTTTTAATAATAATTAATGAGATATCGAGGAATGCGCACTTAGTGACTCACCCTGTATATACATATTAAATTTTTTTGCCACAGATTTCATTGTCACTTTTACACATTTCTGATTTACATATAATTATGTATTTAGCAAATTTTATTT